TTTTACCATATCTGCCAGTATTTTTTAAGTGCTCAGATTAATTTCTAGTTTTGACTACAGTTTAAGTTTCCACAGATTCCTGTGATGCTTTCAGTTTCAGAAACACAAATAGATAACTTTTGCAGTGGTAAGCAAAACGCAGATCTTAGACCTTGTCAGTGGTAAACAAGCCTTGTTTATCCACTCCTGGCTGCCAGAGTTCCTAGAGGCTGGGCAGGAAACAAGAGACTAAAAGGAGACTTTGACCAAGTCAAATGACAGACCCTTAGGAGGTCTGCCAGAGGCCGTAACTTATGCCTGACACTCAGATCTGAGAGTGCATATTGTGTTTCCTGCAACATAAGAAGCTAGATAGAGGAGAAAGGACAAATACTGATGGGAGATCCTACTAGCAGATGCAGGGAAGCACCAGCTCAACACTAATGGCAAAAGCATTACTCCTCCTTGCAGGAGGTCCTGTTTGCAATTATGAGTCTTCTAGAGAGGAAGCCTTCTCTAGGGACAGGTTGTAATCTAAGAACTACACCTTGATCTGTGAGCAGAACTCTTGATCCTACACACACTCAATACTATGCTAATGTGGTTTGCAGAGCAGGAAGGACAAGTAATTCAGTACTAGGACGGGAGTGCAACAGGTAGCTTGCCATGACAGCTGAGTCAGTGACTAATATGGAAATAGTACTGTGGATACTCAGTTTCACACTCATACTTCATGCCCTCATACCTCTTGCACAGATCCTGCATCAATACTTTACCACTTCAGCTATTCTCTTGATGAAGCTCCACAAAGGTCCAATGAAAACCTCACTTGCATGGTGAGGTTAAGAGAACTCTGCGGGTAAATGGCATCTTGTTAGGCAGGGGAAAATGTTCAGGCCCAGGCACGTCTCAGCTAAAACCCTCTCACTGCTCATGCTCAAGACAATGCCACCACTGTGCCAGTTTGGACTCCAGATATCATTATCCATGTCTGGGAGCCGAGTGACTCAGCCCACTCAAGGGAGACAAGCACCAGACAGGTTACTTTGAAGAGGATTCTGCTTCCAGCTGGAAAGAGTTCAAGGGCTCAGCACAGACTTGTTAGATAAACTGGTAGCCCAGTAACCAAGGTCCAGGTACTCCAGGCAGGTTGGCTCTGAAAGCAGCTCCAGTTACTGGTCTCCACTTTTGTCTACCACCTCACTAGTCCACCTTGTCTCTCAAACAACCAAAGTTACAGTATATAGGACAGACTCAAGAAAAATACTGGGTTTTTAAATTGACATTAAGAGGATCTACTAAATTTCATGTAACAATTTCTGCTTGAAACTCATACAAGTTAGACACAATTAGTCACCTTAAATTGTCATTTTAAGTGGTTATGCAGAATAAAGAGCAAATCAGTCACTGTATCAAGTGCCTTTAAATCATACAGATAGAAATCTGTGCCACAGGTTTACACTTCAATCCCATCTCAAAGGCAGTGCACCCCGTCCTGAAGCTTCGCTGCCCTATGAAGACAGCTATGGCCTCAATAACAGGTTTCCTGGCAGAGAAGTCAAGGCGACTGGAGATAAGCTGCACATCAACACACTTCAATGGCCTTGATGAGCCTGCCTCCCCTCCCAGGGTCACTGACCAGGAGGCAGCAGCAGCCGTGCTCCAAAGCTTCCCGCACAGACAGAGCCCTGGAGGAGGAGCAGCGCTCACAGCAGCGATGACATCACCGGGGTGCATCTCCGCCAGCACAAAATGCAGCAGCACGCTGGGCTCCAGAGCTGCATCCCTCCCAACAGACAGCAAAAGCAACAAGCACACCAGGAGCCAGAGGGGAACCGAGTGACACAGGGATATCCCTTCAGCACCTGCTATTTCTGAGCAGCACGTGTGCAGCTCCTGACCTTGGACGCTCATCTGCGAGCTTTATTCAAGGTACACTTAAAGAGAAATGGGACCTTCAATCGAGCCCCCTCACTGCACAAATAAGCATGGTGTACCAACTATTGTCATTCAATTAATTATCTATATCTAATTCAGTTTTGAGAAGCACAGCTCGTGTTCGGATTGATGCTGCAGAGAATGACACTTTTATCCTCACAATCTCCGGTCACAGCTATATCTGAAGGCAGACTGTTACACAGCAACTACAAAATATCATTTTAGGAAGCTGCAGAGGGAAGCCAACTCAACTCTAACTCATCAGGCAATTAAAATTGCAATTAGCAAGACAATGCTGTGCAAGAATGAAGTACTTCAGCATCTGAAGGATGCAAGATTGCTGTCAGACAAGCAGCACGGGCTAGTGCCCAACCAAGTTCAGCATTTAGGTAAGGTCTTAGCTGGACTCCCTTCTGTGGAGGCAACAATCTTTAAATTACTTTACAGCTCTGCGAGGGAATCTTAGGTACATCAGGGCCCAGTAACAGGGACTTCAGAGCAGGTCAGGTCACAGCCAAGGAGAAGCCCAGAAGACATAAGGAAACGTGGCAACGTGCAAGGTGAGAGTCCTGTCTTTGTTTCACAAAGGGCCAGCTTAATTCAGTCACTAACAAAATCTCTGCATTCTGAAGGCAGGGACATGCAATAATAAGTACTTGTGAGCCCACATCATCCAACAGTTTCAAAGAATACAAACATCTAAGTGCCCTACTGCATAGCCCTTATTCTCGAGCCAGGTACCTGCAAACCTTTTCTCAAAATGCAGCATTAAAAAATACACCCTAACCAAGCACAGCCAATGTTGTTTACAGCCAAATGTTAAGTTCTGCATAAAGCAGTCTCATTTTCACACAGAAGTCAGACCAAAGTCCCATATATGTTAGAGACAGAGCTATTTATAGTTTTGCACAGATGGTTTGATGGCAATTGTTATGTTTCCTCAAGGACAAGCTTTGCCAGAGATTTGCTCCAACAGGTAATTCTCACAACCATCCAACAGAAGTATCTTAAAACACGAGCTTTAAGAAAGTGCTGCAGAAAATAAATCTGGTCACCCTCCTGCTCACAAGCCTTCATTTTGATTAGCAAACTAAGCAAAGCCATATCTTTCCCAGGTCACTTCAGAGCAGAGCTTGTATATCTTACACTTTCAATTGAGGATCTATCAATGTTCTAACATGTCTGTGCTACTCAAAAAGTTAGATTCCCTGGCTTTGACAGGAGGGCCGGGATGCCTGTAGTGCAGACTCTGCCACGCAGTTATTTAAATTCTTAACTTGTCACCCTGAAGGTAGAACTCAGGGTGTCCTGTTCCCCACCTCTTCACTCTAGTGACCAGTGACAGGATCAAGAAAAGAACATGAAGCTTTGTCAAAGCAGGTGTAGGCTGGATGTAGGGGAAAAGTTCTTCACCAAAAGGATGGCTGGGCACTGGAACAGGCTCCCCAGGGAAGTGGCCATGGCCCCAAGCCTGCCAGAGCACTTGAACACTCTCAGGCACATGCAGGGGTGTCCTGTACAGGGCCAGGAATTGAACTTCTATGATCCCTGTGCGTCCCTTCCAACTTGGAATATTCTGTGATTCTGAGATTAGCTATTATGAGGGTATTTGAGTTTGAGGACAGGGACCACTGCATGACACCACAGGGAAGAAGAACATTTAACACAGCTACTCCCACCTTATCAGTTATATTTCACACTACAGGTTGGGAGAGCAAGAAACTGCTATGAGATTTCACAAGTCTTCCTTATTGAGGGGTCAGATTAGCCCCATAACAGCTTTTCTACACCAGACATAGGGTAGTAAAATAACAGCACAAAGAATAAAGAAAAAAATCCAAAACACACAAACACACACCCCAAGCAAACAAACAAGGCAATGCTGGAAAGTTAACAGTACTAGAGCTGCTTTAATTCTGAGGACTCAGGCCAGGCAGGCATGGTGGGTCCACTCATTAGTGCATGGAGGGCAAGTCATGTGTTCAGTCAGCTGTTGGGAGTCACAAGGGAGAGGGGGAAAGAAAAGTATACTTGTTCTTCCTGAGTAAGTACAGCAACGAAGCCTTGATTATTTAACAAGGAATATTCAAATTACTCCACCCACTTTAACCTCAAATTCAGTTCCTGAGAGAGCAGGGTACACTGACTCCTGCAGCCTGGTTCTACTGGAACCATAGCCAGGCTGCAGCTACTATTCACACGCCAGTGGTACCACCACAGCCTTCAAGTCACAGCCAGCCAAACACTGTGGCACAGCTACTTATATACCATTCCCCTAAAAAGAGAATTTTCCACTTCCCCAAACCCAACACCCACATGGATACAGACTGTTCGGCATAGGCCAAAGCTGGCCAGCCAGTGACAAGTACTGAAAGCTTAAAGGTTCCATGCTGGCAAGTGTCAGACAAAGAACAGCTTGCTTACAGCTGGGGGGGGGACTTCATTCTGTCATGTGTTCTCAGTTTACATATAAAAACCTCATACACACAGACCGCAACAGCTCTGCTTATCAGCAAACATTTGTAGTTTTCCAGGAGATAATGCTGAAATTTCCAGCTTTGAGAACAAAAGGTGGAGAGTACTAGGTGAGACATACATTTTGATGCTGAGGTTACCTATCCTACTCCAGATGAAGACAGCCGTTTTTACAACTAAAATAAGCCCTCTATTTACAGGGAGTGCAATTGTTTTAAGTACAACCATCAGGCATTTCCATGTTTATTAGTCTCTCTCTATATGCAGGGAAACTAATAATGCATCTATCACTTAATTTACCTTATTACACACTCACAGACAAAAGCACTTCTAACGTCCACTCTAATAGTTCTTAGAACTGACTCAGGCTTTACACACACCGACAGCTACTTTCGCAATAACTACCAGTGTCCTCGGCCACCTCTTTGGCCGGTTTAATTGCTCCCGGGGCTGTCGGGTCATGCTAAAAGCGCTCCCCGCCGACCCCCCCGAGCAGCGTTTCACCGTCCCCCCGCGGCCCCGGCCCTCCTTCGGCCGCCCCGAACCCTCCCGAGGAGCCGGAGCGGCTCCGCACGCCGCAGACAATGCGCTCCCTCCCCGGGAGGCACCGCTCGGGCCTCCCGAAGCCTCTCGGCACAGCGGGCTCCACAAAGGCCGGGCGGAACGCGATCCTGGGAACGGCCCTCGGGGAGGAGCCCCGTCCCGGGGAGAGCCCCCCGTATTGTCCCGGGGCAGCGCCGGGCCCGGCTCCAGGCAGCGCGGCCGGCTGGGCCCGCCTCGGGGCGGGCAAACCAGCCGGGCCCCGGTGCAAAGCCGGCCGGGAGCACCGAGACAGCGCCGCCTCCGCCGCGGCCCCCCGGTGCCGGGGAGGGGCCGCCAGCGGCTGCCCCGGCCCGGGGCGAGGCCGCCCCCCCACCCCCGCAGGCCGCGCGCGGGGCCGCCGGGCTCACCTGGTGCTGCCGCCGCGGCCCGACCCCGATCGCTGCGCCCCCCGCCCGCCTCGTCGGCTTTAATGGGCCCCGCCGCCTCCCGCGCTCGCTTCCGCCTCCCCGACGAGTTCCGCTCACGGGGCCGCGGCGTCACCGCGCCGCCCCCGTGTCACCGGGCCCGCCCGCCATGGCCGGCGCCGGGCCGGGTCCGTGCGAGGGGAGTGTGCCGGTACCGCCGGGCCGGCTCTGTGCGGTGGGAATGTGGCGGTACCGCCGGGCCGGCTCTGTGCGGGGGGAATGTGGCCGTACCGCCGGGCCGGGTCCGTGCAGGGGAATGTGGCGGTACCGCCGGGCCGTGTCCGTGCAGGGTGAATGTGCCGGTACCGCCGGGCCGGGTCCGTGCAGGGTGAATGTGCCGGTACCGCCGGGCCGGGTCCGTGCAGGGTGAATGTGCCGGTACCGCCGGGCCCGCACGCACGGCAGCGCCGCGCTGGGACCTGCCTGCCCCGCCGGGTGCCAGCCCAGCAGGGCAGCGAACACCGCACCCTGCGCTGAGGGGAGGCGGAAGGGGCCAAAGAAGCCTTCGTGCTTTCAGAAATAAACGACGGGGACACACAGGCACAAATCTGTTCTTCGCTGCCTTCTAAATAGCATCGAAGAGCTAGCACGGAGTTCTCTGCAGTTGCGTTCCTATGTGAAAAAAACCCTTAGCTATTACTTAGACTACATTTTAGATTATATATGTTTAATATTTATAATTTTTTACTCGCAGCTGTAATCTAAAGTGGGGTAGTAGCAACAGTGCTTGTCAGGAAAGAAGATAAAAGATGTCAGTTGAATGTACATTTAGATTGATTAACCAGGCAATTGTCAGCACCAAGATCAATAGGCAGGCAAGTAAAATGGGGCCTTCTGAAGTCTCTGGACCCAAATCCATGGGGTAATAACTATCCTGGTTGTATAAGTGAAATCCATATTTCTACTCTGTGTTGGCAGCAAGTTCATTTTGTTACTCAGCAATTACTTGAATATTATTATTCATCTAAGTCATGTGACTGCTGTGGGTTTAGTTAGCTTATGAACTCAGGAAAGCCACCAAGGGGAAAAAAGTATTTTTAAATCTAATTAAATATAATAAAGGACCGAGGCAATATTCTAGCAATATTAAAAGAAAATCACACAATGACAGACTTGTTGGGGTTGGAAGACACCTCTGGAGATCATCCAGCCCAGCCCCCTGCCAAGGCAGGGTCACCCAGAGCAGGTGACACAGGAACTCGTCCAGGTGAGATTTGAATGTCTCCTGAGACTCCATGCCCGCCCTGAGCAGCAGTTCCAGGGCCCTGCCACCCTCAGCCTAAATAAATGCTTCCTCATGTTGAGGTGGAACTTCTTGTGTTTTGGTTTATGGCCTTTGCTCCTCGTCCTGTCGCTGGGCACCACCAAAAGGAGTCTGACACCATCCTCTTGGCACCTACCTTTGAGATATTTGTATGGATTACAGACGCCCTCTCAATCTTCAGACTACACAGGCCCAGCTGCCACAGTCTCTTCTCATAAGAGAGATGCTCCAGACTCCAGAGAAAGAAAATTTTAGCAACAGTTTATTAGTGCTTTTAGGGTGCCCCATTAGATGCAAAGAGCTGCAGAAAAATGTGGTATCAGTTAAAATGCAGATTGGACAAAAGAGGAAAAGCCTTCAGCACATCAGCAGCTGGTGGAGCAGAGCACTGGCTTACCCCAGTCCATTGCCTTTATCAGGAGACCCATGTGCTGGGCTGTTATGGGCAGACTTTATTTGGCAAATTAGTGGGTGTTCCTCAGCTCTCTTTTCCTAAAAGTTTCCTTTTAATTTTTTTTTACACAATATGAAAAGCAAACAAAAACTGTGAGTGACATTTCCTCCTGTACTGCAGAGCAATCCTGGCACCACCTGTTACAGGCCTTTGTTATGCAGAATTTCACAAAAAGTTCCTGGGCCACTTGCTGTTGACAAGATGCTTTCCAATCCGCATTTTCTTAAGCTGATGAGGCAAGATCCTGCTTGCTTCCAAGAACATACAGAGCACCAGCAGCAAGAGACAGGTCCCTGCTATCCAGGATGAGAGCTACATTCATAGTGGCAAATGGAAGTATTGAGCTATGGCTCTTGATATATCCCCCTGTCCCCTCCCCATCAAAATAACCACGTGCCCTGGGAACACCAGAGTGTGCTGCAGCAAGCAGCCCAGTACACTGAGTTTTAGCAGCCTGTGAAGGAAACTAAAATGTCAAACTCCAATGAAAACCCATAAAAATGGATCAGTTTGAAAATCAGATGCCCGTCATTCCCAATCACTAACACTGCTCTGAAGAAATCCATTCTCTGTCCTTGAGGGGCATTCACATAGCTGAGTGGATCTCTGAGGTTACAGTAACAGGTCTTTAGACATTACTGGTGCAGAAACCTCAACCTATTTCATGCACTCATTCCTCTAAACCAGGAAGTGAGAATGTCTCCTGCTTTGATTTTCTTCCTTTTGTGTCACCTAATCTCTATTTACTAATCTTCCTGATCCAATTAGAGACAATCAAACATTATGTGTCTTACACCACCTCTTTGCTTTTGTCCTTGGACCAAAAGAGCCCCTCCTTTTTCCTTCTAATTTCTGAGTGAACACCGGTACAAAAACACCTGCAGAGAGGCCCAGGGAGGACATCACCTCAGCTGTGGCACCTATAGATCCCTGACATGAGCTGAGAGCATCTGGGATTCCCCACAGTGCTTAATGTATTCACCCTCTTCTGTGGACACACAGGTACCCCACCCCTGGCCATCTGTGACATTAAAAGCTTGTGGAGAGTCCCCTTATTCCCCTGATACTTGTTCAGCATATTTCAGCTCTTCAGAGTCCTGCAGCCCCTCCTCATCGCTGGGAACAGCCTTTCTTTGCCTCTGTGCCCAGAAAGATGTAGCACCAGCCTAGAGTGGCTGTGCCTCAGTGAAAACTGACTGTCCAGAGCCTCCTGTGTGTAGCTGTCCTCTCTCAGCTGGCTGTGCAATGCTTTCCCTTGTCACTTTTGGCCTCCCAGAGCAGCTTCCTCAATTTATCATTATAACATACAAAAATTAAAAAAGGGAACTAAAATGCAGTAAATACACCAAATTTTGCTTTGAAGCTCCAAGCTTTGTCATGCTTTGATTTATCTTGTCTAAAGCAGATTCCCCCTGCTTCTGCTGGCATTTTGTTCATTAGAAATCTGCTAGTGCATGACCACCTATGCATTTCCACTGGCAAGAGCACAGACCCAGTCTTTTGCCTGTCCTGTCCCCTAATCCCTGCCTGCAGTACAAACACTCTTCTGGTAATCTATTAATGCTTTCACCTTTGCAATCCTCTGATAGTTTCCATGGCATAGAGCAGCATCACATGAAAACAAAAAGGTAGCTCTGGACAAGACTTGATCACCAGATACCAACTATAGGAAGCAACTGCAGTCACTTTATCTCATGGCAGATCTCCAATCTGTGGTGCAGAGGACATTGCACCCAGTGCAGGGATTATGTCTGTGCTCACTGAGAAAATGCATCTGCTGGAGGATGAACATCTTCAAGCACTGGTCTAAATGCAGCCATTGCAACCTGAGTCCCACAGGGAGGACAGGGCCGACCTGCAGGGATGCAAAGTCTGATTGTGCCAAGTACCCTCACACTAGATAAGAGAGACACATAAAAAAATTGGCTTTGGACTCTTTTGACAGCTTCCCCCTGTTCAATAGCGACAGCCACAAGACCACTGCAGAGTTGTCGTCTCTTTGATACTGGGAGGTGGCAATGCTGGCACCTTCCCTTAGATGCCAGCTCACTTCCTGAGATTAGAAGGTCCAAACACCTGCTCTGCCTTTCAGTCAGCCTCCTGTAGAGGCTGTGGACAACATACAGAGCAGAGGGGATATCCTTAGACAAGTATTTGTGCTGGCCCCAGCAAGACAGGCAGGGAGAAACAAGCCCGTGCTGCTGGTCATGGTGTAAGGTGGGCACCACATGGCTTTGTGCTTACTGTAGTTATCTGGGCCTAGACTGCTGGAAACCAAAGCCCGTGGAAAAGTCAAGTGTCACAGGGGAAGGGATGCTTCCATGGCCCAGACTTTGTGCTTGTGGCTAGAGAGGCACCCACTATTTATAACCATAAACTCATGAGGCTGTCACACAAATGGTGACAATCACCTGAGCCTCTTGCAGGTCTCCCAGCTGCCCTGACTCCACATCTACAGAGGTTCTCCAACACCACCATCACCTTTCCACTTTTACAGCCAGTCCTAAATACCAGATAATTATTTTTTTATAGCTGCATTGGGAGGTATGCCAGATAATTTCATATGACTGTTCTCATACTCAATTGGAGAAGATGATCCAGAGAGTGAAGTAACTTCCCTGAGGCCAGAGTGAGTCAGCTACTTTGTCAGATCCGTGTCCCTCTAAACACAGACATTTCTGAAAGGTATTTCAAACCATAGGAATGGTATAAAAATAGCTACAGAGAGCGGTGAACAGCCAGCACAGAACTGCACAGGCTTTGCAGAACTGACCTTCCTTCAGGGATCAAGGTTTTTTATAAGGAGTGTGTTACCAAAGCAGCAGGTTCTATGAACTGTTACCTGCCAAGCACTGAAGCATTCACAGTAAAGATCTGGTCAGCCTGAGAGCTCTCAGCTCATGCCATGAGTGGTTTTTAAGCCATGAGGGCAGGCAGGACATGCCAGTGGCTGGCAGGGCCTGGAACACTTTGCAAGTGCCACTGCTCTTCTGTGCATGGGGCGTTGTGCGATGGGGTGGACCAGCCACGTGAGCTCTGCATGAAGGTGTTTTCTGACAAAGGTGGCCATGTCATGCTGTTGTTGTACCCAGAATGAGTCATGGGACAGGAGTCTGGAGCCACATGACCTCTGTGAGTGGGACACTTTGTGGGACAGGTGACTTGCATGTTGCTTCTTCCTTAACAGTGAGTCAGTGCCAAAAGATGTCCCAAAGACAGCTCTGTGTGGGTAGGAACCAAACTGGCTGCAATGCAGCACACTCTGTGGGGTCTGCGGGTCCATCCTGGATCCCAAGAGACAGGGGTTGTCTGCAGAGGCCTAGGAAGTTCCTCTGGGACCCTCCATGGGAAGGACACAGACATGTTCCACAGCAGGATTCCCACCTCAAACACCAGGCAAGGCACAGGGTGCTGCACATTAGCTTCAGATCTATCTGCTTCAACTCTTTTCAAGTGACGGGTTTTCACAATGCCAGCTTGTCTGCTCTAAAAGGAGAAGCAAATCCTGTATCAATGGTAACCACAAGAAGCTGGAATAATTTTGAGTACATGTTTTCAAAGGCTGTGACAAAGATACTCAGCCTTGAAGGATAAGGGTGTGTGGGCAGTGAGGTTTGCTTTGCTTTTATCTTGGACAACACTTTTCAATGCCTGGTATCTCAGCAGCTGCATTTCTGACCCCAGGGAGTTATGACTCACTGTTTGCAAATCTCTGAGCCACCAAATTGAAGGTATGCCTCGCAAAGCATGATCCTAAACTGAAATGCTTATAAGTGGGTGTTACAGCTCCAGTTATTCTGTACCAGCACTCGGCTGGCTCCATATCACTGCCTAAATTTCTGGCAAATAGAAATCAGCACCTCTTGCTTTGTTTAGGTAAACAGTATCTCTCTGGGTTTGTCTTCTTCAGTGAAGTTCTCAACCAACCTGTGAGCAATGAGGCTACAGAAGATGCATTATCCCACCTATCCCAGGACAATGCCAGCCTGAGGAACATCTGCCCAACTGCTTCAGACACCAACATCAGAGCTGAGGCTGGCCTTCTGGGGACTAAGGCTGTCTTTTAGCTACTTTCTGGGTGACCTGTGTGGGTTAAGTGAGCCACTGGCTGCCATCCTTTCTGTTGAAGTGAATCAGTTCGCTGACTCAGGGGAAAACAACACAAATGTCTTATCAAACATTTCTTAGCAGGCAGGCAGGAGAGCTTTGTGTGGGTAGCCCAAGGCCTTCAGAGAAATAAATAAGAACAAATGATCAAAATATCCTCGTATTTCTTTTTTCCTTGATCATGAATGTTTTTCTTATCAGAAGAGTGACTGCATACACTGCTGCAGACCAATGCTGTTCACAAGGGGTTCCTGCTCCCTCTCTTTGGGAGACCTAGGATGGGACGGAATCACCACCATCCATCTGGCAGGGCCTGATGAGGTTGTCTCTTGGGAAGGGGCCACTGCTGACCACCACATCCACACATGCCAGGGTCCATGAACAGCTGGGCTTGGGTCAGAGGTTTTGATCCAGCCAGGCAGGGGCTCAGGGGTGCGTTTGCTGGAGAAAAGGAAATCCCAGCTGACACTTCACAGCACATGATCCAGGAAGGTCCCTACCAGCAGATTCAAAAATTTAGTAACCTGGTAAGAAATCTGCATTATCTCACTGCTTGAACTCGGGGCTCTTGGAGGGAGCAAAACAACTGCCAATCCGTAAATGACCCCCTCTTGTTTGCTGTCAGCAGGATCCTCAACTTCCTGCTGTGTGTGGCAGATCCTGCAAAACTGAGGCTTTAAAATCCAGGTTTAAACTCTATGTGAACAACATATCTAAGTAGATACACCAGCATGTGCTTCCCTTTCCAAAAACAACCTGAGGAACAGTCGTTGCTCCATGTGAAATGGCAACTCCCTTATTGTGCAGAGTGGCCAGTGACAATTCGTTGCCAGACTTTATTGCTACTGAGGATGGACGGACCACAGAACTGTACTGTTGTCAGGTTGGTCCTGGCACCATATTTGCCAGAACTTAAAGGGTCAGGAGGAAAAATGCAGCAGCACTTATCAGAGAGATGGGCACTAAATCCCACGGCGGTCCCGTGGCACCCGGGCACTGCATCACTGCACAGCTTTGCCCTCACCTTCCGTCCTTTACCCCGGGGACAAACCACCTCCTGAAGTGACCCCGACAGAGGCGCGGCACGCTCCAGAGCCTGGCAGGCACAATGAAACCTGCAGCTCCCTGCAGCTCCCTGCAGCTCCCTGCAGCTCCCTGCAGCTCCCTGCAGCTCCCTGCAGCGCGAGGTGCCCGCGGCCCCCGCAGGTGCCCAGCACAAGCAGCCTCAGCGGGGGCTGCTGCCGGGATGCTGCGGGACGGGGCCGGGTCCTGCCCGGCGCTGTTTGCTGTCATTGCCCAGGCGCGGCTGCAGCGATCGGGGCGGGGCAGCCACGCCGGCCGGGGCCGGGCCGGGGCCGAGGGGAGGCTCCGCCCCGCCGGCACCGCCCCTCCGGCGCGCCACGGGCGTCCCCTGGCGGCTGAGGGGACGCGGCCATGGCGCCGCTGAGGATTTCTGTCACCCCTCACAGCCCGGAACCGCCTCCCTCGCCCGGTCTGCACGGGCAGAAGTGTCACCGCTGCTGCAGCTGCCGGCCAGGACCGCAGCACGCCCAGCCCCGCTCAGGGATCTCAGCACCAGCCTCTCAGGCGCTCCTACCTTGAGTCCGCTGCGGGCTTTTCAATGTATTTATCTTTGTGATTTCAGCCAAACTCGGCTGCTGTTGCCTCCACCACTGGCCCTGGGAGTTTGCTGGGGCAAACAAGCAGATGGAGAGGTGTAATTCTCTTGTCAGGCCATGCTCATCTGCAGCACAAGGGTGAGGTTAAGCTGCTGCCCCAGGAGCCAGCAGGTTTCCCCTCTGCCCAGAGCTAGGACTCGCAGCCTCCTCCTGGAGCCTGGAAGGACAGCAGGGTCCCTGCTTCCTTGGTTCTCAGTGTCTGTCCTTTCCAAAATATGCACTTTTTCCCTCCTCTCTCCTCCTCTGGCTTTGCAGATGCCAGCCCAGCAAAGGCATTTTCAAGCTGTGGGTGTACCCAAGTCCTGTGTGAACTGTGAAGTACTTGAGTGGCAGCCCTGATCACACTCTCAGTTTTAAAATATAGTTAAAACAGCACTGTTCCCTCTATCCAAAACATGCTCTGATCTGTTGACAAAATCCAGAGCCACCCAGCCCAGTGCAGCTCTCCTTGTGTGGACCACATACTTTGCTCAGGTTTTGTATTTTAACTGTACATGTGTAGCAAATTTTTTTCATTCACAGCATGCCAGTGCCTGCCTATGGATATTTTAGTTACATTTTAGTAAGCTTTAAGAAGAGTTAAAAGTACATTTTAAACTGATGAAGTGTCCTCTTTTCCACAATTTTTTCTCCTTATTTTAACAGCACTCATCACACAGTAGTCACCCCTTGCAGGAATCACAGATGCTCTCCCACATTCTTCCAGGACGTTTTCCCTGTGTGTTTCCCAATTGCTATGCACAGGCAGGTTTTTTCCATTCTTTTTTCCTGAGTCTCGTGGACAAGGAGAGAAAAACAGATTTATTTTTTTTTTAACCAGGAAAAATTATTTTAAAGAACACTATAAGGAGTGGGGAGGGAGAGGCTACTGCAGATAACTAAATTAACTTGAAATAAAATCTGGAGGAGCAGCTCCTGGACAGACAGTGCCCCATCACCACTGCTTCTCTGCAAAGGCACGATGTATTTTCAGAGTAGCTGAACAAAGAGTAGGAACCAAGCTCCAACCAGCCCCCTAAGTCCACCATTCCATGGAAATCACAGGCAAACCCCAAACAAGAATAATGGTGTGTTTTGCTTGGCAGCGGCTCAGTGTGAGTTATGCTGACGAGCTAAAAAATGAGGTTGTAAAAATAATGAAACTGGAAGAATGTTGTTCTTCTTTTTCTCCAGCTGCTTTTTGAGGGCCTTAGCAAGGTTAAGCAAACTCTGCCATCACTCAGCCACCTTATACCTGTGCTCTCATGGCTGGCAACTGCCAACGCCTCACTCAGGACTGAATAGAGAGAGAGAAATGCCCTCTGCCTCCCACTGGCAGCCAAAAGGCTGATTTTACATACACAGGGTTAAACACCAATAAAATCTGAAGCAGGGAGGTTTTTCAGGATCACTGATAGGTTTGTAATAAAATCTTCAGGGTGTTGGCAGGATGACTTCTGCTGCACACGCACAGCCCTGTTTACTCTCTTCTGTCCCTGACCTGGGCTCCTCAGAGAGCAACACATTGTATCGTGGTCCCTGCATATTCCTGGTGCCAGCTCCCCACTGCTATGAGGATCACAGCAGAATAAATCCTGTTCCTGCTGCTACAGGCTTCAGTGTGCTTCTGCGGTCACAGCCAGCCCACTCCTTCTAGAAAACAACTTCTCTTTCCCTTCTTGAGAACAAATTGCTCTGACAGATGACACAGCTCTGAGTTTGGCATCAGCCCTGTATAAACAGAGGAACACAGGGCTTTTCCTGGGGTGCGGTTCTGTTCATGGCCGAGCCTGCCAGAGGCATTTATTAGACCACGATGGTCCCTCCGCCCTGGCAGATGGCTGGGCTGGCTCCATCGCTGTTCCCTCCCGCTGCTCCGAGGCCCTGGGGCTGACACACCCCCTCCACAGCACACGGGGAGCTGGGGCACTCTGCCAGTGCCTGGATGGCAGCAGGGGCTGGTAACCGCTCTCATGCAGCTTCCTGACCTGCAGCTCTCTGGGACGTTACTGCTGGAGGGGGACGTTCCTTGCAACGAGAGAACAAAAAAACATAGAGACAAAAAGAATTCTGAACTCCTGTCTCTCTCTGTTACTTGGCACCAGGCCTGGGTAGCCAGATATGCAAACATGCACTGCGCCCTGTCCCTGCTGAAGAACAGCCTGCAAGCTGTCCCCAAGCTGTCCCCAGAGCTATCCCTGGAGCTGTCCCAGCCACGGGCCACAAGCAGCTGTGACTGACCCCATGCACCAAGAACAGCCTGGCACTGCTCACAGGGCAGTGGCAAGAAGGGCCTGCAGAGCCAAACTCAGACTTGAACAAGCCCAAAGGCAGCACCTTTTCAATCCAAATTTAGTCTGTGTGGTAGGGCTGAAGTCTTGAAACAGATGATGCACAGGCTCAGCATGACTCAATGATCACAGTTAGAAATGGATATAAACATAGGGTTAGTGTACAACAGTCTGCTTCAGAGCTCACCAGGGTCTGGGATGGGTCACATATTGAGACTGGCATTTGCCAGCAAGGTCAAATCCAGCCTCCGAGATGAACCCATTAGAGAGAAAATTTTGGCCGAGGACAACTGAAGCCCAATTATTTCCAGACATAAGGGACATATGCATTTATTTCTTTCCCTCCCTTTACCAGGAAAAATTGCCCTAAGGGAGAGAGGGAAATAAGAGCTGCATGTGTTATTAAATAGGCTGAGTTCATTTATTCCGTGTGACACATGAAAGGACAGCGACAACCATTCCTAGCAGAGGAACTTGCAGACCCAACCTGGACAACTGGAGGGAGTCCCCAGATGCAGCACTGCTGGCCAGCCTTTAATTAGAGGTGGCTGTTCTGCTCAGCCTCTCATGTTTCACGGTTGCTTCCCCTGAACATGCCTACCCAGCTCCAGGCTCCAAAGCCCAGCTCTTTGGAGAAGGCCAAGATAAACAGGCTTTTCCTGGAGAGCAGAGGGACTTGGAATATTTCCCTGGCTGGAAACAGGAGGCTGAGGAGGTGGAACCCACCCCTGCAGGCATCTCCTGCTGTGCTGCTGGAAGAGAACACCACTATCACCGAAACACGGTGACAAAACTACCTGCTTGTGCTAGGATATGCTTACAGGGCGAGTTGCCAAATTCACAGGCATTTATGCATTTACCTACATAAATCAAAGGGGAATTGAAGAAATTTGCCAAGAAAATTTCCATGACAGGAATTTGGAGGTGAAGAGGTGGTAAGGGAAGAAAAGGAAGGCTAGCTGAGAAATTATGCAGTTTTGAACATAGCACACCAGGAGACATCCCATTCTATTTAGCCCTTGCCAAGGGTCTATTTGACTCCAAACACGTAATTTAGGAAATCCTCTTCCGATACTTGGCAATCCCAGGCCAAATCAAAGAATTATCTCTGTGACTTGTATTAGGATCTTAAAGAAAGATTGAGTCCTGGATCACATTATGCAAACATGAAAGGTCTGTTGTCCCACAGGGCTCACAGGCAAAAACATTGCTCTGGCAATCACAGCAGACAACATCCGTTCCTTGCTTTTATCTGCCTTAGATATTTGAGAATAAAGTGTCAATCACCTCTTCCCTAGTCATGTGTTAAACCACGAACATCTTCCTTTCCCCAGCTGCCTTATGTCAGTGCAGAGCTGGTTACCATGCCTTGGCAACCTGCAGCACTTCTACTCTGGCATCACCTAGTTATCTGTCAGTCAATTATCTGTGTTTTTTTAGCAGAAAATCTGGGTTCATCTTAACTCTGTTTGTGTTAAACCTCACCTTCCAGAACAACGTCTGTGCTTTTTTAGCAGAAAGTTTGGATTAATCTTAACTCTATTTGTGTTAAACCTCACCTTCCAGAGCAACAACGTATGCCAGGCCAGCGAGATGAACTGTCCCAATCTGAGGTTCATTAATAAAACAGCATAATCAAAAGCACTGAAGTCCATCCCTTTGCAGTGGCCGGTGCTACATCCCAGCGCCATCCACACCGACACCATCCTGTGCCCAACACTTCCACCAGGACTGGCACCTCTGGCCCCTGGAAGCCCTGGCAGGAACCGGCCACTGCTAAAAACACGGAGAAACGGAGCTGCTTTGTGCCGTGGCAGGAGAGGAGGCTGAGGAGCACCTGAAAGCCCTGAGCAACCTGCAGTATTTGTTAGAGTTCTTGTTTCCCCGCTCTTTTTCGGGCAGAAAAAGAAGTGAGAAATCCCAAACAAGCAACGCTTGACCGGCCCCGAGGCTGCCCAGGCCTGGGAGCTCAGCAGGGGCAGGGCCGCAGTGCCCCGGGAGCACAGCCCGATAGACGCCGGAAGCGGCGGAACTGCGCGAAGCCGAAACCACCCCGGGCCCCTGGAAGAGCCCGCCCAGCTTCTCTCCTCAGGCTCGGCGGAAGGCGGGCAGGAGCTGGGCCGGCTCGCAGCGCCGGTGGGCGCCGCCATCGCGCGCCTCCTCCCACACGGGCGCCGCCATCTTGTGCCGTGCCCGTACAGCGCGGGCGCCGCCATCTTGTGCCCTCCCCGCGCGGTGTGCCGGCCATGGCGGGGCTGCTGTGCCGGCTGCTGCTCCTCTGCCTGGCGGCCGCCGGGGCCGGCGCCAGCGCCAGCCTAGTGCTGGAGGAGGTGCGGCGCTCGCTGGACCTCAGCACGCACCTGGCCAAGATCTCGGCCGAGCTCAGCCTCGCCAACGCGCCGGGCGGCGCGGCCGCCTCCACCTTCCTGCTGGCGCTGGAGCCGGGGCTGGAGCCGCGCCTGGCCCACCTGGGCGTGCAGGTGAGCGCGGGGAGCGGGCCCCGAGCGCCGCGCCGGGACAGCCGCGGGCGCTGCCGGCCCCGCGCCCGGAGGGACACGTCGGCACTGCCGGCCCCCGGCGCCGCTCCCGGATCGGGGGGTGTGTGTCGCGGGGTGAGGCCGAGGTGGAGGCCCGGGAGGCGGTGAGGGGCGATTCACACCGGCACGGCTGGGCGGGGGTCGCCACCAGCACGGACGGAGCAGGGCTGGCAGCCCCAGGCAGCCCCACGGACGGGGGCGCGACCCTTACCCACAGGAGGGCTGGCGGAGCAGTAGGGCAATACTCCTGTCCTAGCCCCAGAAGTACTGTCACTTTAGATAAACTACATACAGCAGAGAGAGGTACATGCAGTGTTCTATGATATATCTGTATACAGAGTTCTTCAGTGTACCTTGACAGGTGAAGCCGTATTGCTCGTGGCCTGCTCACTCCCCAGTCACAAGGGAAATCACAAAAGCATTTGGTCCATATTCTCATTTGTGCAACTTACGGTGACTGCCAGCTTGGGAACCAGGCTGAGGGAACGTGGGAACACAGAGCATACTGATCCCTGTGTTGTTTGGGAACAGGTGAAAGGTGAGGAAGAGGAGGAGAATGCCTTGGAAGTGAAAGAGACCAAAGTTAAGGGCAGAAGGTGAGTATCACCCTCTAAGGCGAATGCCTAGCATTGTGCATGGGGAGTTCATAATTGTCCTCACAGTTCCTCATTTGTCCCTCAGTTCCATGCACACCTAGATAGCACAAGTTTTTTCTTCCTCAGTTGTGCTCAGTGTCTTGTACTCAGTGCCTTGAGTAATGCCCTGGGACACCAGGTGGGAGAAGTATTTGCTCATGCTCTTAGCCATTACTCCATTCTGAGCTCTCAGACGGTTGGCAGTGGTGACTACAGAAAGTTTAGTGCCCTGTGGCAGTGTGTAGAGCACCACAGAGTGCTGGGTACCATGACCCAGTGCAAGCTCTTCCTGCTGCCAGGAGAGAGGATGCTGCTGTTTGCATCAGGCTCTGTACTGCCAAGCTTAGAATATTATGTAGGCGCTGTGTGCACGTGTTTTCTGAGCCACAAGAGGTGAGCAGTGCCTGTAAAGTGACTCAACAGCACAGTGCAGCTGGGTTTGAAGAGTACAGTAGCTGTGGAGTTAAGTTGCCAGGGTAGACCTTGGCTTTCTGACATGGCTGGCTGATCCTGCCCTTGGGCCACCAGGCATGACACAAAGTATGTTTGCTTCTGGCATCACCTTGCTGTCCTGTCCAAATCCTTACAGATTTGGTGGAGTCTCAATCCATTCTGTAGAACCTCTGTCCAAAACCTTGTTCACATTCTGGCCATTCCTTAATTTCAGATTCTGTGGGCAAAAATCTGAGAATGAACAGACTTTGTGGGTACAAGTGCTTAAGGTGTTTGTGATTTGTCTTCTGAACTTGTGCCCATGGTTCCTTTGATGCAGATCATTCCTGTCATCTGGAGAAGAATGGAAAAAAACTTGCTGATGCTTTATAAATGCAGGATTAGGGAGGGGTATGTCACCATTCCTCTTCCCAAAAGGGAACTAGGTGTTATTTTGTGAAGCAAAGACTGTAACTGTGCCTGGACACAGTTCAGCCTGTGCTGCTTCCCCAGCACAGTAATCACACCTGCTGGGACAAGACATCGCTATGTCTTGGAGGAGCAAGTAAAATACCTGCCCAAATCTCACATTACACACGTGATACATGGTCGGTCACCTGGCCACAAGGGATGTTGCAGTGGGTGGATCTGAATGCTCTCTCAAGGGAGATCCCACATGACTTGCCTGTTCGTCTCCCCTCCAGTGGGAAGTTCTTCTCGGTGAAGCTGCCATCTCCTTTGGCCCCAGGAGCCAAGGTCCGTGTCTCTGTTGAAATGGTTTTCACGCACGTCTTGCAGCCCTATCCCACCCACATCACCCAAAGTGAGAAGCAGTTTGTGGTCTTTGAAGGAAATCACTATTTTTACTCACCGTACGTCACCAAGACACAAACAACCCGTGTCAAACTGGCCTCCAGGAATGTGGAGAGTTACACCAAGCTGGGCAACCCTTCCCGCACTGAGGACATGATCGAATATGGCCCCTTCAAGGACATCCCTCCATACAGCCAGGTAAATTATTGTGTAAAGGGTTTGTGACTCTGCAGAGAGCATCTTCCAGACATAGAAGATGTGTCTCAGAGGCTGGAGACTTGGAAGCAGAGACTTTCATGTAGAAATCACAAGCTAGCTGTGAGTTAAACTGTGTGCCAGGAACATGTGCATCTGCCAAGGAGGGTTCTCTGTGGCACATGGAGTGGATCATTGTGAAGGGAGCTTGCTACTTACTTTAGATCTGACAGTTTATCTTTTTTCCCTCTTTAGGACACTCTGAAGGTGCACTATGAAAATAACAGTCCCTTCCTGACCATCACCAGCATGACACGAGTCATTGAGGTGTCTCACTGGGGTAACATTGCGGTTGAAGAGACGGTTGATTTAAAGCACACAGGGGCAGTGCTGAAAGGGCCTTTCTCCAGATACGACTACCAGAGACAGCCAGACAGCGGGATCTCTTCTGTCAAGTCTTTTAAGGTTGGCATTTTGCACATGTATTTTTATAACGCTGACTTCCCCTCTTCTTAGATCCCCAGAGGGGAAAAAAAAAAACTTGCGGTTGTCCTTTGCCTTTTGTTTGATAACCATACCCCAGTAATAAGGGAATATTAAAACTCTGGTTTATTTCCAGAGAAAGCTTGTGCTGGATAGGAATAGCTTTTGGAAGCAGCATTAGGAGGTTATACACTCTATTGCATTTGCTGGTCCAATAGACTGCACGTACTCGGGCATGGGGGTGTTTCTCCACACTCCCACCCCTCCAGTCTCAGGAACCCTCTAAATCCCTTACCCTTATATTGAGATCTCTGCTTTGGGTTTTCCACTGTCCAAGGACCATTCATTCTGTCCCCACCCCCTTCTTTTCAGAGTTGCCTCTCTGTCATATCCTCCTCACGTTGAACAGTATTAATTGGAAAATCACCCATTCATTCCTTGCTCACAAAACACTCAACAAGAATTAAAGCTGTGGCTCTGCTAGCCAGATGTAAAAAGTATTATGTGTTCTCATCCAAACCAAAACCTTTCTCGCTGCTTGTAGTCTCCAGGATTGATTGTTGTAATTCTCTAGGGTGGTGCAGCCAAACAGAAATCTCATTATGCTGAGTGTAAAGTTAGCAAGCCCAGTCAGCTAGGGCAGCAAGTTGGAGTGAAAAGGGAATTGCTGTCCTGGTGAGCATGATGATCCCTTGCTGTGTGGGGAGTTTGAAACACGGCTGGAGAAAGCACATTCATTTGGAGGCCAAGTGATTTTAGGGCTGGCAGCCGCTTGTGCCATTGCTTATAATAGCACAATTTTACCACTCAGTGCAACTGAATGGCCATTTTGTTGTGTCTCATGTGGGAACACAGTTTCTCAATGCTTACCAGCCTTTATTGGTTTTGCCAGTTTCACTGGAAGTAACTCCCCTCTGATGCACTCACTGCTGCTTCTCTCCATACAGACCATTCTCCCAGCTGCTGCTCAGGATGTGTATTACAGAGATGAAATCGGGAACATCTCTACCAGCCACCTTCTTGTCCTGGATGACTCTGTGGAGATGGAGATTCGTCCCCGATTCCCACTATTTGGGGGCTGGAAAACCCATTACATCATTGGCTATAATCTGCCAAGCTACGAATACCTCTACAATCTTGGTGGGTGCCTGAGGGGGAAGGGAATACAAAAACATCCTCCTCTGTGTTTAAAGGTAGTTGCTGTAGAGAAAAGAATTGAAAGCTGTGGTACACAGGACCTTAGCAACAACAGTTGCCAACTATTTTTTCTAGAATATGCAAATCCACCTTTTTTGTGCTTCCTTCAGGTTTTTGTAGACATCTGGTTAAAATATGTCTGAGTGAGCTAGTGCCCCCTGCTGCACAATTATCCATGTAAATTCTGCTCCTGCCCCTGGTGGAAGCTGAGTTTCAAGGCTGTCCCTCGTTCTCTGAGAAGCTGTAACCACTCTCTGCTCTGCACTTTTAGGTGATCAGTATGCCTTGAAGATGAGGTTTGTTGACCACGTGTTTGATGAGCAAGTTACAGATTCTCTGACTGTCAAGATTGTCCTGCCAGAAGGAGCCAAGTAAGTGTCATTCCTTCTGGCTTGTTACTGCAGACAGTGCTGTGTTGGTGGCACTTCTCCAGTCTGCTCTAATGGCCTGGGGACAGTGAATCAAAACCATGACTGTGCATATGGAGGAGATCTTGGAACACAGCTTTGCTTCCTTGTAGAGAGAGCATTGTTTAAACTCCATAATTTACCTTGTGCTAGAAGCTACAATTGCCCAGACAAGTGTTGGGTTACATCATCTGAAACACCATAGACTCATATGGGATGTCTGGTTTTACCCACAGGAATATCCATGTGGACAGCCCCTATGAAATCAATCGTGCCTCGGATGAGCTTCACTACACCTATCTGGACACTTTTGGACGTCCTGTTATTGTGGCACACAAGAGCAACCTGGTGGAGCAGCACATCCAGGACATCGTGGTGAGTGTGGTCTCTGAGCAGTTGTGCCTCCTCTAAATTCAGCAGCTTGGTCAAAACACCTAAGAAATAAACACTTACTGGACTGCTTGGGTGGTTCTGCTGCTGCCTGAGGAGTAAACCCTGCAGTAACACGGAGCACTGC